CCCTCCCCCCGCGCCAAGCAACGCTCGAGCTCCCCTCGCTCGGCCACAAACGCGGGCAGAGCAGCGTCAGCAGCATGCACTCCGTCTCGCTCTCCTCCGACCAGGGCGACGACGAGCAGCACGTGCAGACCTACCCGCTCGACACGGACAGAGACAGCCTCGCCGAGAGCTTCGAGGACGTCGCCGTGCCCGCCTCCTACCGCGAGCACGCGCCGATATCGTATTCAGCGCGTCGCGTGCCGCCGCCGCCCTCGCCGATCCCCGTCCCGCTCCCGCCGCCGCTGCCGCAACGGCAGGCCAGCGCGCCGGCTGTTCCCGCACAGGCACAGCGGAACTCGCCGAATACGACGGGCTCGAGCACGGGGAGCGCGTCGAGGAGGGTGCCGCCGCCGCCGCCGCCCGGCCCGCTGCCGTACGTCGCGCGCACGCGGACACCGAGCACGTCGCGTCCGCCGAGCGTGCGCTCGTTCGCATCGGGGTCCTCCGCGCCGCCCATGCCGCCCTCACGCTCCACATCTATCTCATCCGTATCGACGACGAACACACACATCCCTCCGCATTTCAGTCCCGCGTTGACTGTGCAGGGCACAGGAAGCTCGGGTATCTCGGTCTCTGGTTTGAACCGCGGACGTGCACCGCCTATGCCGCCCGCGGCACGTGCGCGGTACGATAGGGTGTTCGACGCGAACTGGCGCGCGAGCGTTGCGCGGCCGAGTAAGAAGGCGAAGACGGGGAAGGAGGGCGGGGATGGGATGTTGAGCGTTCCGGGGGCTGAGACGCCTAGGACGAGGAAGGGGTGGAGAGGGCTGAGCGTGGATCTGATTCCGGCGGATAATCCGGCGTTGGCGGGGGATGGTGCGGATGGGAATGCGAGTGAGAAGGCGGGGGCGAGGGCGAGGGAAAAGGAGGAGGTCGTGCCGCCTGATGCGAGGTTGCCGAGTGGGGTCGTGAAGAGGTTGTGGAGTTTGAGTAGGCTGGACAAGGCGCGGTTGAAGGACATATGGTATGTCTCGTCAGCACTCATATTTTTGTATTGCTATTGTGCTCACACGACCATCTTTAGGGACTCAGTATCCGACCCCGCAAAACCCGCCTCAGAACGAAAAGGCGGGCTCACAAGAGACGCCTTTGCTCGTGGAATGTGGGCCATAGACGACGACCTCCGCCGGGCGAAGATCGGCACGCTTGCAGGCAAGCGACGACAGGCTACACGATGACGGCGGCGGAGTATAGAGTGGAAGGGGCCGTTAGTATACCCTCTAGGGCCGCGATACCAAGCTGGCTAGCCTTTGAGCTATGCACGCTATCGGTCACGGACTTATGGACCTGTATTCATTGCTACATATGGAGATGGTCCGTATAATATATTTCGACCGTCACGTCGACGCAAGTACGTCTCATCATCGACAGCCGACTAAAGTCTTCTTAGCACGTACGAAGAGAACGCCGCTTTGCGCTCTCCTCAAAAGCAATGAGTGATCATGTACAGATGCATATTAGATGGAGCGAGTATAATGCAATAATATAACGCCAACAACCTCAGCGCTACGGCAGGTTCCGGAAGCTTGGCAACCGCGAACCGCAAACCGCCAAGACAAACACCCAACACCGCACACCACTCAACGCTCAAGCATCATCCTCAAGCACAAACACCTCAATATTCTCCACCCACGCAATAGCCTTCGTATACGCGTCCTCCCCAATCTCCACCACCTCGCGTTCATGCCCGGGTAACGACCTCGACCTGAGCGCGAGCTTGTGCACGGGTACATCTCCGAGCGCGGATATCTTGCCTTGGGCGTGAGCCAGCATCGCCTTCACAAGCGTCGAGCACGTCAGTTCCAACCTACATGCATGACAAGAAAGAGAGCGCACACACATCGTAGTCAGTGAAGCGCGGGACCAAGAGCCTGCGGGGGGTTCCTCTGCTCCGGCCAGACGTGGGGACGTACTCGAGCACTATCCATGCGCCGAGAGACGTGTCCTCGTCATCGGTGTCTACAGTCTTGCTAGGCTTGCCACCGAGAGCTTGCCTCTTGACTTCCTTGATGCGAAGACCCTTAAGAAGGGCCTTGTTAGCGGCAATCCTTCTCGCGCGGTCGAGCTCGTAGGGCGTTGGCATGGTCGTGGTTATGGTGAGACTTAGACAGCGGGGCGCGACTGGCTGGATATTAATCGTCTCGGCCTCCGAGCTGTGACGCGTGATGGACGCGGTTGATCCTTGTGACCGATCGCCATGAGTAGCCTCCCGCGCCTCCTTCATATTGCACACGGCGTTTCTCGCCACGTTGTTGTCGGCGGTAATCTTCTACTTCTCCCATGCCAGCGCCGACCCAACTAGTCAAGAGATGCGTCCTAGTTAGCAAGTACGATGCCCGTATGCTTGAGTATAGCGTTGGTAGTGGCGACCACTAGATATCGTGGGATGAGAGTTGGGAGCAAAGGCGCATACGCCCGCGCGTCGCGTCGCGTCCTGTCGCGTCGGTCGACCCGTGTACGCGTGACGTCACGCGTTCGTTTATTTCCGAGCGCGAAACACTCGGGCTGCCGAGGAGGGCAGCGGGCTGCACAAGCGCAAGCCCTCATGAACATCTGAGCTAGGCCCAGGCGCACTACCATGGTGCGAAGCCAATAGAGTCTGGTAGCCGACGGCCTGAGCCCAATGCTTGCGACCGTCGATGAAGCGAACGCGGCAAATTCGGGATTCGGCGGGCCGGACACCGCTTATGGGGGCACTGCGGGCGCCACGTCGACCGACTTGTCGGTGTCAACGCACAAAGCAGCGCATTCTCTGCTTGTTCAGAGCTCAGCCGGCCCTCTTCATAACACCTCGCTGCACTCGCAATAACTAATGAGACTATGCTTGTGTATCGGTATCGCGTTTACGCTTCCTGTAAGCCAGCTGCACCCTCGAGTTCGCGCGTATGCCTGCGCCCTCCAGGGTCAAGTACCCCGGCACAACCTGACCCTCAAACAACAGCTGTTTCCGTCTCGCGGGCCCAAACTTCCTCCTAAGCGAGAGCGGCCCTTGCAAGAACTCCTTGAAGTCGGAGACCCTGGACTCCAGATGTACTCGGACAGGGTATTCTCCGCCGTTGCGACCTAGGGCCTCGACTGTGATGTACACTTCAGTGAAGCACGAAGAAAGCCAGTCTCCTTAAGACAGCCGTGAGTACGAATACGCATAATGGAATGGCCCGACGCGCACCTCTGGCCCACTCGATCGGCCCATGCGCGGTGCTCGCGGATGCAGATGGTACTCGAAATGTACTTGCGGCAGGCGGCTCTCGTCGGCGTACTTTGACCTCGACCACTCTGACCCGCCGGCCCAGTCCGGCCCACTTCTCGCGCGTGATCACGCCGTCCGTATGGCCAGGAAACGAGGACGATCTGAGCGTTATGTCTGAGGGCTCTATTAACTGCAAAGCGTAGCTCATGCCACGAGCGTGTTCGATAACCGCCTGTAATGGGACCCGTAAGCTCGTGCAGGAGACGTAAAGGGCGTAGAACGCGCATAGTATGAGGCTGAACGGGACACGGAAATCACGCGGCCGCCATAGCGCAGAGTGAATGTCGACCGAGCTGAAGCGGATGATGACATGGGCACATCACTACGAGTTGGAGGCATATGCTGTGACAGTTTATAACGATGTTGACACCGACGTCGTGGAGGATGCTCCCGAAGTCGACGACGGCGCGTCAGGGCCCGTCGCCAGGCTACGAACCGTCACGTACGCGTGACATAACGCGTCCGCCTCGCGATCTCATAATAGCATTTGATATGCCTGAATCAATATCAGCGGTGGATTACCAAAGGTTACGCGACGGAGCGCGCTCCTCAGCTCGGCGTTCACTTCGCTTATAAGCCGCATCATCACGGGCAACCTCCTTCCACCCAAACCACTACCATCATTCTCAACACCAACATGCCCGTCCTCAGAGACTCCCGCTCGCGCTCACGTACGCACTATGGACCCGCCGAGCCATACATCCCACACCCACTCCTCGTCGCGCACGCCGGGCGCACCGTCGCCGTCCCGCGCACCGCAGTCTACATGGTAAAGTCTCACCCTGTATCACCGGCGTTCTCGCACGTCGCACTCACGTACAACCTTGTCTTCAGCAAACGCTCTGGAACATCAAGACTTCATTCCGAGCACTTCAAGGCGTCGACGTCTCGCGCCTCGTTATTAAGAGCAAGGCTATACCCGGCTGCGAAGGTGTCAACGCCGAAGTATCGGCTGCGCTTTGGCCGGGTGTTGCGAGTAGGATCGGCGCGTTGGAGATTGTCGTGGATGAGGAGGGCGGAGACGAAGTGAAGGTGGAGGACGTGCAGAACGAGCCGTCCGAAGCTAGCGAAGGTAAGTAGCCAGCTAAGCGCTCGTGCATGATCTCATCATCCGCAACCAGCAACCCCAGCGCCCGACGCCGACAACGAGCGCCCGATCCCGCGCGCGCCTTCTCCAGCTCCGCACCAAGACCAAATCTTCGTCAAAACCCTCACCGGCCGCACCCTCACCTTCTACGTCGACCTCAGCATCTCAGCGAAGGCCTTGAAAGCTCTCGTCGCCGTGCGCGACGTAGGCACCAACCGCAGTGCTGAGAGGTGGTGCCTCGCGCACGCCTACTCCGGCGTCAAGCTGTTGCCCGAGCGCACGCTCGCCGGGAATAAGGTCCGCAAAGAGTCTACGCTGCAGATGGTACCGCAGTGTGGTGGATCGGCGTGGTGGCCGCTTGATCCCACTGGTATGGTCGCCTTGTTGAATAGAGCTGGAGTTACGCGTGTCTAAGCATACTACACATGTATCACTGTCATCATGTATCAGCAAAACCATCCGCACTATTGATGTACCATACGCACCCCAACATAATAAATGTACAATCGTGATCACTTCGCCTCTCCGCCTACGCTCTCCTTCCCAAGAATCTCTTGTACTCGCTTCAGCTTGTGATCGTTCTCGCCCTCTGCTCCAGAAACGAGTTTGCGTTCGAAACCGGGTGCGCGCGTGCCGATGCGGATGTCCGTTGCGATGCGCAGTGCACCTTTCGCGTGAACGGCGGCGTGGCAGGCGTGAATTGCGCTTGATACTTCGGACCAGGGGCCTTCTGTGATATGCGTGTCGGCATGGAGAGCTAGAAGTATTGTATACGCGCGTACCGAGATTCGTTCCGTACCCGCTATCAGGATGGCGAGGATCAGTATCCGCATGCGGGCTCAAAGCTACGATAGTACGAACTGCATCTGTGGGCGATGCGTCAGCAGGCGATGCAGAATGTGCAATGCTCATATACCTTGTACTTCAGCCCAGACTTCTCAAGCACGCGAGCACACTCTGCTACGTATTCCGCGACCTTATACGGCGTTATCTCTTGACGAGCGGAATGACCTTGACTGGATCAGCGTACAGAGGGATCGTGGCCGGTTCCCATCGGGATCAGACAGAAGTCTACTGTTGGTCAGAGGATTGCGTAGGTTCGAGATCGCTTATGTCGTGTACCAGCTGTCGCAAAGAGTTCGGCAGAAGATGTTGATTCGGACATGGTGGTACGGTCGGAGATGGTTCGTGGGTCCGCGCCGCCGCATCAAGAACCCGCGCCGGGCCGGTTTGCAGCTTGGACATCATCCACCATCTACTCTCGTTCGTATTCACTCTCGCGGACGTATTGAGAATATACTAATCCATGGTTCTTCTTATGCAGTACCTTCATATATGATCGTTCCGTGTCATGTTCTGTCGATCTTCGCTCGTAGACGCTCGCCGTGCGCCCTGGCCACGACAGCTTGGTAGCACGGACCGGATGAAGGGCACTTTGCTTGCGGGGTTAGGACATTACTGGCGTCGGACTCTGGTACAAGCGCCACTGTTGTCACCTACTCCACATACGGCAACAAGACAGGGACAGGGACAGGGACTCCACGCTCACTACCCGCAATCTCTACGACACGCTACGCTATCAACGCAGGCATCACACGGCACTGCACGCGATTCGCGGACAAACCGCAGCAATACCATAGTCGTCGGTCCACTTACTCCAGAGGCCGACACGGCGCAACTGGAGGCTGCGTTCAGACCTTGCGGGAAGGTGGTTCAAACTTTTATCCAAAAGCGTCTCAGCGACGGTGAAATGCTAGGATACGGTTACGTGAAGTTCGGGGACGCTCATTCGGTGGATAATGCTCTCGAAGTTGATCGTACGACCATTGGAGGACGGATGGTGTATGTTCGGGCCCTCCACGTGCGGCTGGACACGGTCGTGGTGAAGAATCTACCTCACGGCGCCGACGATTCTCTGCTGAGATCGACTTTCGGGAAGTTCGGCGAGATTAGCGACGTTGGTGTACGGACCGTACATCATCGACAAGACAGCCAGCTCATCGGGTTTGTCACCTTTTCTTCCCTCGAGTCTGCAGACGCCGCGCGCAAACTCTCGGGGACGAAAATCAACGGAAAACCCATAACTGTCCGGTTTTCGATGCCGCAAGCGCGCATCATCTCCCACGCTATGAAGGGCGAGCCAGCATCCACTTCTGTTTACGTCAGCGACCTCCCACCACAAGTGACAGATGATTGGTTGAGGGCCGAGTTCGAGCAGTGCGGGGAAATTGAGGTTGTGCACGTGCAGAGACCTCGTCTACCAGATGGAAGCCCTGGAGTTGGCACTACACTTGGCTATGCTTACATTGAATTCTCAACTGCTGATGCCGTCGATAAAGCGCTCGCCCTCGGCTCTCGCCTGACCATCGCAGGTCATGCTATTCGCATTCGACGAGGCACTCCCTTTGTAGCCACGCGCGAACCAACCCTCCGCATGGGGCCTGACCCTGACGATACGACCGTATGGGTTGCTGGTCTCACTCACGGCGTAAGGCATAGCGCGCTCCGAGCAGCGTTTGAACGCTTCGGGGAGATCATCTCTGCCTTCGTAGTCGTCGATCGCGAGTCGCGCAGGTCGCGCGGCTTTGGCTTCGTCATCTTCGCTTCGCGCGATTCAGCGTCGGCTGCAGTGAAATATGACCGCCAGATAAACATACAAGGATTCATGGTTCGAATCGAGAGACCCAAACCACGCTTGCAATCCAAAGACGGCTCCTCTTCCACTCAGTCTGACTGAAGTCCGACAGTAGCGCACCCGCAAGTGCCCACCTGAAGCGCGTCTCCTTCACACGGACTGCGGTAATATACGCCCTTCTCTACGTACGAGCGGACCCCTTGCATTCTGATTTGAGTACCATCTCCTCTTCTATACCTCCTCTATCGTTGGCCCAGTTCATTCCCTAGATCATCATCTGCCCGTAGTTATATACGGTATATGCTGCTCGCAGGACGAACAACGACGCATGTTGAATCACATTTAGGCTGTATCATACCTGGCTTCCCAAGTACTACGTGGCTTGCTTTCAAAGCCTCCGAGAGACTGACTCCTTCCACGTTGAGCTGCCTCGCTAGATATATGATACGTCGGTATCCTATCCCTGAGCTTGGTCGATACTTGGTAACACCGTACACGGGCTGAACTTGCGAAGTTGGTTCAGAATCGGCGATACGGTCGGAGATAACGGCGCGAGCGCACCCACGCTTGCGTCTTACACCTAGACCATCACCTTGCCGCCACCCGCTCCGACGAGGACCCCCGCGTAACCTCTCGTACGGGCTGCTCAAGGAAGCGCAGAAGCGTGTCGCGCTCTTCAGACCCACCTTTTTCTGCACTATGCTCTGCCGCCCCTCGCTCGTGGGCGTGCCCCCATCATTTTTCAGTAACTCGAGCCGAGTGAGGTTCATCACGGCCACGAGCACTATCGGACGTCCCTCAAGAACTTACTTCGCCGGAACTTCATGGTCATTCGTAGTCCCACCTGCGGCGAGAGAGCGAGTACTGGGGCCGCGCACTGTCTCGTTTCGACAGCTGCGTCACGCCGCTCTTTCGGCGCAGGCCGCTGATGTTGATTCATCCAACGAGCACTCGCAGCGCACGTCCACCGTCATAGTTGGTCCGCTAGCCTCGGATTTCGACGAAGCTCACCTCACAACCTCATTTGCGACTTGTGGGGCGATCCTCCGTGCTCATATCAACTGGCGTTACACCGAAGGCGAACTACTTGGTTACGGTTACGTGAAATTTGAAGACCTTCAATCAGTAGAGAGAGCGCTGGAGCTCGATCAGTCGATTGTTGGAGGACAGACGGTTCACGTTCGTGCGCTTGTTGTCGAGATGAACGTCCTTGCAATCAAGGGTCTTACACGGGCTGTCGATGAAGCTCATCTGCGATCCTTGTTTGAGAAGCATGGCGATGTCACCTACGTCCGCATCCGCAAGACGCCACCGTATAAAGGACAGCGCGAGAATATCGCATTCATCCGATTTTCGTCGCGACCATCAGCACGCAGGGCTTTCCAAGCTCTTGACCGAACGACAATTGACGGGGCGACCATCTCCATCAGTCGTTATACGTCAGGGCAGAAGCACACCATCTATCTTGCTGCAAAGGGAGAGCCGCCTCTCACCAGGATACGTGTTGAAGGCCTTCCCCCGCAAGTGCACGACGATCGGCTCAAAAAAGAATTCACACAATTCGGAGATATCGACTTCGTACGCGTCTTGAGACCCTTCTCTGCGGACAGCGCATTTGGTACAGGCAACTCGACTGGTCAGGGCTATGTTCACTTTACCTCCACCGAAAGTGTTGACAAGGTGTTGGAGCTCAACGGTCGTCTCACCATTGACGGACAATCTATCCGCATCGAACGAGCTCCCGCGTTCGTGCCCGCTCACGAACCAAATCTCCGAGTTCGCCCCGGACAGTATCACCCGAACAGAGCTTGGGTCAGCGGACTCACACGCGACGTGAATAACGCCCAACTCAGCAAGGAGTTCGAACGATTTGGCCGAGTCTCTAGGGCTCTCGTACACAGGGATCGTGCGTCAAACGACTCGCGTCGATTTGGATTCGTCACTTTTGATTCGCCCGAGGCGTTGGAGGCGGCCTTGGAACAAGACGGCGAAATGAAGATCGATGGGTTTACGATCAAGATTCGGAGAGCCGCCATGCGCCATAAACCCCCCAATACTTCTCTCTACGAGCCTGGTCGGGCCTAATAGATCCGACGTTGGTACCCCATTTGACATATGATCACGTCTACTGCCCATGCTCACAAGTCAGCTTCCATCATGTATTTATACGAGTTTTGAAGTAGTCCGGATGAATTACGTTTACACCATTTTGACATGCATATCGTCCGCACGCTTGTCCGTGTCTACCATCGCCCGCTACCTACCATCATACTATCGCTGCCCCACCGTGTAAGCAAAGCTTGAAGTGCATGAACGACGTTCTACGTCTTGTCAGCTTTCACTATTTAATTATTATGAACGCGTGATGCGCGCCTAGTTCGTCGGACGACGTGTCGCGGCTCGTCTCCTGACTACCACCACCATCTCGCTGAAAATCATCGAACGCTTCACGCAACCATGGACTAAACACTCATGGACGTCACACTCTCGCTTCCTGAAGAGGTCTTGTCGGGCATATTTCGATCTGTTCAAGCCGTCGACCCTCACACCTACCCACGCCGTCGCGCCGTCAGCGCATTCTTGATTAACGTCACACCCCGCAAGAGCGCCGCTCTAGGTTGGATCAACGTTACATTCGTGAACCGTCGCTGGCGACGGGTAGCACTTAATCATGCTGCACTATGGACACATATAGATGGTCGGCTGGGACGTCGATGGGCGCGCGAGTTTCTGCGTCGTAGCAAGAACGCCCCCCTCTCCATTGACGACAAACGACTTCCAACCGAAGAGGACCGGCGACATGATCTCTCGCTGCGCAATCTGTTAGCCGCACATCATTCGCGCATCGCGATTCTCTGCATGGACGAAGCAATCGACGCAGATAGCCTCACAGGGTTCATGAAGCAATGCCTCCGGTACTCGTTTGAAAGTCTACAGGAGCTTAAACTCAACGCATGGGATATCCCGGACAAGAAATGCCGTGGTCTAAACTCATTCCTGGCACATCTACCTCGTTTGCGGCGCTTACTGGTGCACCTTCCAGATTCATCATACCTGGCACTCGATTGGACATACCCATGCCTCGCCCAGCTCGCATCCCTGAATATCCAGATGGACGTTGAAAAATCGACCTTCCTCAATCCCTATTTTTTGGATGTTCTGCGCCGGATGCCGGTTCTTGCTGAATTGATCGTCTTTGAGAGGGTCACAAGCCCCAAACTGCTCAGTTGCAGCTCATGCAGCTCGTCCACTTCCGATGATGCTGACTACCTGAAGAACCTACACTCCCTAGTCGTCAGCAGCAACGTGGAAACGCACGTGCACCTGCTGCGTCACTTGCCCTTGCCCATGGACATCCGCCTTGGCCTTATACCCAGCAACGTATTTCCAGGCGTGATCATCGATTCAGCTACACACGAAGCCCTCGGTGACGCACTGGAAGAGACCCCCAGCATACAATCCAACGCACCTTCGTTCACTTCGGCACACATGTCCATCAGCCAGCTGCTCCAAGCGAACACAGCGATAGCAACATTGGCCCTGAATTGTACCGCTCGACCGTCTTGCCCGCCAGCCATATACCAATGGAGGACGGAGATGCACGAATGGCTGGGCCGCAA